CATAACATTTTGTATTCTAACAGCCGTTGTCTCGCCTTTCACAACTTGGGTTTATGCGTACTTCTCGACGCTGGCCCCTGAGCTAGAGGTCGAGTCACCCCTTGTGATCCCTTACACGTACAGATTTGAGAATTGGTGTCAGCCCAAGCCTCAGGAGACTATGCTCTCTCTCCAGTAGTTCTTTGATACTGTACGGGTGACGGAGGTAATCCAACTCAGTTCTTTATGCTTTCTGCTTTGATTTATCTTGCATATTTATGACATCTAATCAATTTATGCACTTGCTACACGCAGGTGTCCTGGCTGCCTTAGATAGCCATGCTAGGGAATCCTCGATTTCGGTTCGCTAGGGCATGGGGCACTTCGTGATACAGGGTTCTGCTTGAGTGACCGGTCGGCAGAGCCTGGTTCCTCGGAGAGTGCTTCATGCGCCAGACGATGGGTGTGGGAGCCGAATATTGGCAAAATCAAAAGGTGCGTACCTTAGAAGACTGATATTAATCGGCTATATCCTGCGAGAATGGGAAGCCGAATATAATACATGTGCCAAATAAGTGTAGATCATTAGAGCCGAATAATAGAAAGGACAATGATTAAAAAGTAGGCCCTGGCCCTGAAGATCAAAAGGAACATGTATAAATACAGGAACAATGGATTGAGAAAGGTATGTAAGAATCACTTCACTTAACTTAGTAAACAAGCTATTATGATTGTCTAAACTGACTTGTCCGTTGGAGTGCTAATTCCGACACCCCCGACCGGAGTGTTTCTATCTTTTCAAGTGACTAGCTAAGGTTCACTAGCGTCTCCCAGGATCTGAAGAGTATTTCCAAACCACTTCTCCATAATTGGCGCCGTCTGTGGGAATACTCAAATACATCCATGGCAGGCGTGACTGAAGATCCTCCGATAGCCACTGACAAGACCACACAGAGAGATGACCTCACTCCAGCAAATATGCTCGGAAAGGAAACCATCGCTGCAAGACGCGCCTTGAACTTCGACTCACCAATGACTTCAGCACAAGAGACAATGCAAGCGATCATGGAACAAGCAAAGTAGAATGAACAAAGGCTGGAGAACATGATCGCTAAAAATGAACGTCTCCGTCAAGATTTGGCCCTGGAAGTAGAAAAATCCAGAGAAGCCGTGCGCCAAGATCCGAACGACTTCCGAGGACAGGTGGACGACGACCTCGAGCCCGACCAATGGATACCAACAGCGACTCCAACTCATCACCCACGAAGCTCAAAAAGAAGGGACGATCGGACACTTCCAGCTCCTCTGAAAAGAGTCTACATACAAGGAACAAGCGCAGAAGAAGCAGTTCAGACGAAGAGGACCGGCACGGTCCTTTTGTCCGACGGATTGTAAAGGCGGCCCTGCCCAAGAAGTTCAAAGCTCCGTCATTCACTCTTTACGACGGAAAATTAGACCCCACTGATCATATCCGCCACTATAAACAGGCCATGACATTGCATGCGGACAACGAAGCCCTCATGTGTCGAATATTCCCCAGCAGCTTGGGGCCATTAGCTGTCAGATGGTATTACAATCTGGAGCCGGCTTTGATAAAAAACTTTCATCAACTACAGAAATCCTTCAGGGCCAGGTTCATCACCAATGAGGTACAACCGAAACAGGCTGACTCTCTCTGGGCTATGCAGATCCAGTCAGGAGAAACGCCCACAGCGTACTCGGCGTGTTATTGGGAGTGCTTCAATCTCGTTGATGACGCTTGTAACGACTCCATGGCCATCACCGCCTTCAAAATGGGACTACATCCTGACAGCGCTCATCGCAGTTCCCTGGCCAGAAAACCTTCCAAAACAGTCTGGGCGTTGATGAAGAAAGTTGAGGAGTATTACAAAGTTGAAGACGATGCCTTGAGAATTAAAGTCGGACAAACGTTAAACAAAACAGCACTCCCTGAAATTGCTCAACCAATAAGTTTCGTGCCACCTCCAAGCCCTGAACCACGACAACGCGCTAAAAGAGACAAAGGCAGGACTCTCGCCAATCAAGCGATCAATGCCCCTACCGGACGAATGAACAACTGCAAGTCGACAGCAGGCGCTCGAGGCGTGCCGACAAGAAGTACACAGAATTGTTTGAACCAATCACCGCGATAATGACCAAGGTCCAACACCTTCCATTCTTCAAATGGCCGTCAAAGATGGTAGGACCTCCTGACACGCGAAGAAAGGATAAGCGATGCGAGTATCACAAAGATCACGGCCATGAGACTGAGAATTGTTACCCATTAAAGGATCACCTAGAAGAACTGGTGCAAGACGGGCGACTACAGCAGTACGTGAGAAACGATAAGCCAATCAAGGCTCTAGCCTTGAGGCAGGACTCGCCCCCACTTGGCGTGATCCATATAATCTACAGCCTGCCAGCGCCCCCAACCGTGCATGCAATCCAATTGCATCCAATCCCCCAAAAGCAACATATTCTGACCGAATAGCCTAGAGAAGCTCTGACAATCACTTTCAATGACTCCGATTTTAGTGGCGCAATAGCCTCCAACGTCGATCCGTTGGTCATCATATTACGCGTAAATCGGTTCACCGTTGAACGCATTCTCATAGACCCAAGGAGTACTTCAGAGGTTATGTATCACAAGACTTTCATCACACTCGACTTCAACAAGTCAGATCTGTCTCCGGCTCCTCACCCATTGTTCGGCTTTAACACGAACCCTGAGTACCTGTTAGGAAAGATCACACTACCTGTTCGAGCGGGCTCCAGAACGGTCGAAGTAGAATTCCTGGTCGTAAAGCTCCCTTCGCCGTATAATGTCATCATGGGTCGAACCTGGTTACATATTATGAAGACCATTCCAAGCACTTATCATCAGCTTGTACGCTTTCTGACAGCCCACGGCATTGAAGAAATCCGTGGCTCCCCGCAATCGGCACAAGCAGAGATTTTATGAAACCTTATCACTGACCCAACCTGTGGGCTTTGATACTGGTATACATCTCATTTCTGCAATGCAAACCATTTTTTCCTCCCTCAAATTCATTCTACAACTCTCATCGCAGCGCTTGTCGTATCACCGATTTAAAGCCCCCCTTCGGTGCATGACACCTTAGGGCCGACTAAGACTCCGGATTCGGAGCGCCCTTCGTGGATATCACGATTGGCCAAACTAAGTCTCTGGATTCGGAGCTCCTTTTGGTACATGACACCTTAGGGCCGATTAAAGTCTCCGGATTCAGAGCCCCCTTTGGTGCATGACACTTTAGGGCTGACTAACACTCCGGATTCGGAGCACCCTTCGTGGATATCACGATTGGCCAAACTAAGTCTCCGGATTCGGAGCCCCCTGTGGTGCATGATACCTTAGGGCCGACTAAGACTCCGGATTCGGAGCGCCCTTCGTGGATATCACGATTGGCGAAACTAAGTCTCCGGATTCGGAGCCCCTTTGATGAATGACATCTTATGGCCGATTAAAGTCTTTGCATCGAAACGCCGGTTACGGAGCCCCATCGGCGCAAGATCTCTTTGGGCCGATTAAGACTCCGAATTCGCAGTGCCTCTGACGCGTAACATCCTAGGGCAGATCATACCTCCGAATTCGGAGCACCCTTCGGCGTAAACAAAACGAAGCAAAACATGCCAACATTCGAAATAAGGTGCTTAGCTAAGCATATAAAAAATCCAGAGTAAGATGCAAATGTTTGAAATAAAACTTTTTATTTGATCAAACAGTAGTTACATAGACCCAATCCGCGTTCGAACATTACAATATCTATCTTTAACTTCTAAGGCGAAAAGGGGAATTAATCACGTTGATACAGCGGAGGCCCCGAATCAACGTACGTCGTTTGGAAAGCCTCCACGGCTCAAAATGCCTTGATCCAACCGTGCCCGAATTAGCGTATCTTTGGACCTCCCTCCGACACCATCGACAATGTCAAGGCCAAGATCCAAGACAAGGAAGGTTAAGGGCAATGGTCGTTGTGTCTCCTTTCGGGGCGATCTGCTTCGACGACTTGGAGGCTGACGCGCCTCTCGTTTCTTTTTTAATAACCTACCTCCCACATCGGCTCGGCCAAAGTTTGAATTTGGCTAACTACAGAAACTGTGTCTTACATCCACAATATTATATAACCCCACGCAACAAATAGCGTTATATTAATGAGGTCACTGGCACGAAGAGTCCATTTCATTTATTTTTAAATTCTGGCAGTGACCCCGAGGCAATTTCATTTACATTAAAACCCCAAGAGACGAACATCAATTGACATTCACCACGGCCTAGGTACCCTAACGGCTTTTTGGAACACACTGACTAGGACAGGGGCAGTGCTATCAGTCCAACTGGCCAAGCATTTAGACCCTGCGCCGACTGGAATTTGCCATAGCCACTCTACGTACTGGTTTTTGGCCTCTTGAAATTACAGTGGCCACATTCAAGAATAAACAGCCTCCACGATTGGGTCGACCCCACCTACAAGCCGGTGTATCACTATACGATCAATGTTTGTACATTCATTCAAACATCCATGTAATAAAACAAACACGTATATGCCGAATACGAGCTACGATGAAATATTTATAATGGAACGTTTTTTATTCAATCCAACAATAAATTACATAGTTTTTATTGTGTCTCAACCTTACAATGCGTACTCTTATACGCCGTCACCCTTATCCTCACTTTTCTCGACTTCAAAAGAAAAAAATGGAAAATGTTTACTGTGGTAGAGTGGCGATGCCGAATTAATGCCTGACGCTCGAAGAGCTTCCACAGCTTGAGATGCCTTGATCCAACCGTGCCTAAATCCATGATTCTCACATCGGCAAACCTCTTCAGCAAGCTTCTCTTTGGTCTTTTCGATTCTAACTTTTCGGCCTTCATGAAAACCTTTTTCATAGGCCCTCCCCTTCGCAGACTCCATTGCAAACATACTCGCTGTCTCACGATCGGCGAGCGCGGTACTGATAAGCCGACTAGTAACCCTTTCCACCACAATTGGGTTTCCCTACCCGGCGGACTGTGCCTGAGCCGCCCTGGTCTTCCTTAACTCATGCTCAGTCGCCTCCGCGTGAGCCTCCAAACTTCGGATACGTTCCTCCTTCTTCTCCAATTCCCAACGGGCAGCGCACAGCCGCTTGCCAATTTCATAGGCAGTATAAAGCCCCGTCACCGCCCCGTGAATGCCTTCGGGAAATACGTCATAGTCCTATCGACCTACCATTGATTGCTGAACCTCAGGAGGAAAAATTTGTCAAGCAAACTCGACCGCTACATTTGAGTCTCGAACGATCGAGTCCGCCTCTGTCATGGGTCTATTCTCCACAAATACCGCAAAGCTTAATGGGCACGGTTTCATGTCAGGTCCCCTTCTCGACTCGGGGTTGTGGAGATCTGCCCTGCAACTGCTTGTCCCGCTTGGGTGACTTGCTTCGACGTCGAGGAGACTGACGCCTCTCTCGATCCCTAGAACTCCTACTTCTTGTGCGTGAAGGTTCACCACCTCGATTCATGTCTCCGTCTAGCTCAGCTAACGTCCTCGCTTCCCCTCTGCTATTAAAAAAGAGTCTGTTCGACATTCACACGATAAATCTTCCTCCAAGAGCTGGAGTCAGTTGTTTACTAAGCTCATTAAGGTTGTACCATTGTTCATTTATCCTTTACAAAGGCAGCACCCTTGAGGCAATCTCATTAATTGAGAAAACCTCATTCTTAAGGTCATCTCACCCGGCGCCCGAATGATCATGCGCCGCCAGGGGCAAGGGTAGATTCATCAATCTATTCGGCTCAACTGCCCCAGCTGGCTCATGAGTTAATTCTTCAAACTTTTTAAGGTCGTCTCATCCGACGCCCGAATGATCATGCACCGCCTGGGACAAGGGCAGATTCATCAATCTATTCGGCTCAACTGCCCCAGCCGGCTCACGAGTCGATTCTTCAAACTTCCTAAGGTCGTCTCATCCGGCACCCGAATGATCATGCACCGCTTGGGGCAAGGGCAGATTCATCAATCTATTCGGCTCAACTGCCCCAGCCAGCTTATGAGTTGATTCTTCAAGCTTCCTAAGGTCGTCTCATCCGGCGCCTGAATAATCATGCACCGCCTGGCGCAAGGGCAAATTCATCAATATATTCGGCTCAACTGCCCCAACCGACTCACGAGTCGATTCTTCAAGCTTCCTAAGGTCGTCTCATCCGGCGCCCGAATGATCATGCACCGCCTGGAGCAAGGGCAGATTCATCAATCTATTCGGCTGAACTGCCCCAGTCGGCTCACGAGTCGATTCTTCAAACTTCCTAAGGTCGTCTCATCCGGGGCCCGAATGATCATGCACCGCCTCGGGCAAGGGCAGATTCATCAATCTATTCAGCTCAACTGCTCCAGACAGCTCATGAATCTATTCAAGTCGATTCTTCAAACTTCTCCTCAAGTGCCCCAAACGGCTCATGAATCGATTCAAAATTTTTAAGATTTATCAATATATTCGGCTCAAGTTCCCCGGACGGCTCACAAATCGATTCGTCTCACCCGACATCCGAACGATCATGAACCACCTAAGGCCAGGGCAATTTCAACAACATATTCAGCTTGAATGCCCACAATACTCGGCTTATGAATGATAAATCAATATTATCATAAGATATTCAATCTCTGAAAGCTCAAACACAACAATGATTTTATCCAAAGTAGTGAAAGGTAAAACATTCTTCATTAACATAACTTCACAAACTGTGTACAAATGCTGGTGAAATAGCAAGGAAATTTTCATTAATAAATTGAGCGCAAATAGTAACCAATTTATACATGAAAACTACCCTGAACCAACAAAAGTCTACCGAACAAAAACTTACATCAGAATTAAAAATACTTAATAAAATTGAAATGTCTCCCCGATCAATCCTCAGGGTCAGATTCAAGTGGCTCAATGTCCACTTGCTCGTAGGGAATTGGCAAGGCCAATGTAACTCCAGCGGCAGCAAGGGCTTTGAGCCACCCATGTTTAAACCCCCGATTCTCGAATTTGGGGACTTCATCTACATATTTCGTGTAGGCAGCGCTTCTTCCTGCCTCAAATGCTGCAGAAGCCTCAGAATCAGCTTTTTCCTTGGCCGCCTTGAGCTCCCCTAACTGAACCTCCACCTCGGCAAGCGCCTCCTTGGCTAACTTGAGCAATTCTTCACTCGCATTTGCCCTACTCTCGGCGTCAGAGCAGAGCTGTTCAGCTGTGCGAGCCCTCTCCTTCTCTGCTTCAGCTTGCGCACTCTCCATTGCGGCTCTCATCACTTCAAACTCGGCCCTACTCTTTTGACCGTCCGCCTTCGTTTGCAAACGATCAATCCTGCTAAGGTCATCATGCAGGCGGCGGCCTAGGTCTGCGATCCTGCCAACCGTCTACAAGACAAGTTGCGATCGTCAAATATCTTAATTAAAACAAATTCAAGAGAATTTGAGACGGTCACTTACCAGGAGCGCCGACTGCGTAGATAGGGCTACAACCATAACATCCAGCGTGGCGCGAAAGGCTATGTTGTCAGCTGGCAAAGAAATTGAAGCCGCTAGGCTCAACGCCACGGCTGGATCCTCAATGGTCGAAGCATCAGAAGAGATCGGCATATCACTGACCTTTGGCCGAATAATAAAAGGAGCAACCACGTCTGACTCTTCTAAACGAGGCCGTTTGGAAGTAGGGCTAATTTCTGACCCAGCCTCTTCCTCGGCACTACGCTTTTTGCCCTGCTCCTTCGGAATTAACCGTTCATCAATGACCTGTTGTTCAACTTCTGTCCCCGCTTCGGCCGCAACAACCTGAGCCATCTCTTCCATAACGCGTACAGAAGTTTTAATCAAGGTGGGCTCAGAATGGGCGGCCTCGGCCTTCTTTCGAGCAACCATTCGCTCGGCATTGTTCTTTCGCGCCATCTACGTAAGGCTTTCCCCAGCCATACCTTCAAAAAAATCGCCGGGTAGGTCTCCCAAATTCGCAAAAATATCTCCAGAAGAAAACTCTGCCCGACCCGAAGTGGACGGTGAAGGTTGGTTAAGTCCGGCAGCCTCGAACACCGAGCGTATCGCCTCGTCGACCTCTTCGGCCTCCTCAGCGACCTCTCTAGTTGGTTCGGCAACTACCTGTACCGCCGGCTCCGCATCTTCCCCCGAATCCGAATCTTCGAGGCCAATTTGCCTAAGGCTCTTGAAGTTGGAAAAGCGAAGAGCCGAAAGGTGTTGATCGCCGGATGGAATTGGAATGCCGTCGGTGGCCGAGAATGTAGTGTAAGTAGGTTCGTATCGAAGGAGTACATAAGCAGCTCTCCCTTGCTTTTGTACCTTTGGACGGCCGAAGTATCTGAGTGCAGACTTAATTTCCTCAAGGACTGCGTCGTCAGTCAAGGGAAGAATCTTCTTCAATCTGTTACCTGCAAAGAACAAGGGGTGATTAAAGGAAAAAAGCTGAATAAAAGGAAAATCAACAAACACGACGCGTCACATGGCAACCTGGATCACCCTTCCGTCTGGGACTAGGGTCTAGGCGGTCTTCGCCTTCACCGAACTCCCAATTACCTCAAACATTGACCATCACATCGTCAATTCTCTTACCAGAACTGGCAAGCATGGTTATCAAGTGATGGTCAGTGTCCTTGGCCCTGAGAAAGTATCGCCCCAGCCGACCGGAAGATTTGGCCAAAGCGTAGCAGTGCCGAATCGCCAGAATGCCAAGGTTGATCCTAAGGCGTCGGTTCAACTCTATCACCCCCATGATAATTCGAAAGAAATTTACGCTGGGTTGAGAAGGAATCAGACTCCAATAGCGAAGGGCGGCTCTAAGCAATGGGTGTAGGGGAAAACGGACTCCGCTTTCCGCTATGGATAAGAGAGGGAAGACGATCGTATTTTGATCCTCCCTCTCCATATCAAGAGTATTGTCCATTACAAGAGATAAGTGGACATCGTCGGGAATGGAAAAATGTCGTCGGAATCCGAAAATACGACCCTTAGAAAGGAGGTCTTTCAAGTGTTTAGCCATTTTCACGGGGATTCAAGGTTCTGCCAAAATCAAAATGACAAACAGAAAATAGGATTGCAAAGAAGAGAGAAGAAGACTTACGAGGAGTAAACGGGGCAAGGATAGACGGAGAAGAATTGCAGAAAATGCGAGACAGAGAAGGGATACCCGTTGACGGTCCAAGAGTCTCGAATACTCGATGAAATGTGCACTCGAAAGGACTGAAATTTCAAATCGCAATAAATACGAGACGCACGAATGAGGCGGGAAAGTGTAATGATGACCGAAAAGGTGTGCGCACTCTGACATCCGTATTGGGGCACGTGAAGCCGCCTTTTGACTTTTCCAATTGAAGACCAAACACGTTGATTAACTACCGTCAATGGGGAGTTCGGAGGGCAATTGTGGGAGCCGAATATTGGCAAAATCAGAAGGTGCATACCTTAGAAGACTGATATTAATCGACTATATCCTGCGAGAATGGGAAGCCAAATATAATACATGTGTCGAATAAGTGTAGATCATTAGAGCCGAATAATAAAAAGGACAATGATTAAAAAATAGGCCCTGGCCCCGAAGATCAAAAGGAACAGGTATAAATACAGGAACAATGGATTGAGAAAGGTATGTAAGAATCACTTCACTTAACTTAGTAAATAAGCTATTCTGATTGTCTGAACTGACTTGTCTGTCGGAGTGCTAATTCCGGCACCCCCGACCGGAGTGTTTATATCTTTTCAGGTGACTAGCTGAGGATCACTAGCGTCTCCCAGGATCTGAAGAGTATTTCAAAACCACTTCTCCACAATGGGCAACTCCGATCAGGACCTTCCCTCATCGCCTCCACCAGAGATGCAGTCCGCAGGGGATCTTATACCCTAAAAGACGGAGGACCTCATAATGGGTATTGATGCAGTCCTTTTTCAGGAAGAGGGGGATTACGCGACATATCGCCATACGCACTTGATGCCTCCACTGTCAGGTGTCCGTATGGCCAGGAGGAGAGCTGCTGACATGCCTTCCTCGAGTCGCACCTGAGCTGGAGGCGTTCCTTCGACCAGTAGGGCAGGCTCATCAAGGGAGGAACCGGATGGATGCCCTCGACTTGCCAGTATGTTGGATGGCCAAATCTTCCGACCGAGCTGACGGGCTGGCAGTATGGGACCTCTTACCCGATTCCACTGGAGCCTCCGATGCTCGACCATCGATACGTCAGTGACCCTGACTCACCACCGGTATGTTTTAGAGTTTTCATTTATCACTCAGATATTTGGACATTCATTCATGCACTGATGACTTGAACTTGTGTGTGTAGCCTCCTAGGGAGTATACTGAGGGGTTACTCGGAGTGGTGGCTTCACTCAAGGGCATGGTTCTGCGAAGGGAGACGATGCTCTATGCCTCCGGCATTTAGGTACTTTTCAATTTCCTCGCATTTATCATGTTTCTGATGACATATGGAAACTGAACATTTCACTGTATTGATTCATTCCATGTGTAGAGCACATCTGACACATCACATTCACGCACTATATCTGCATACACCCACTCTATGTAATTCTTGTATCTGCATCTGATATACATACTGGCTGACGCATTCAATTGTCCTTTTCAGGTCCTGCCTCTGCGGACTAGGCCATCCAGGCCTTCTCGAGCAGCTAGGAGAGGAGTCTCAGTACTCGGCCGAGGCGGACGCAGAGCACCTGTCAGTCAGGATGACGAGGAGTCTAGCGAGGAAGAGGAGTCGGCACATCCTCAGTCTGAGACATCTGCAGGTAGGGACGATGACTCAGGTTTTGGTTCGGAGGACGGAGGCGACACCGAGGAGGCTTCCGAGGACGGTGACTCTGATTCAGATGATGGTGCCGGTGCGGTGGCGCAGAGGTTGCTCAACCGAAGAGGGCCTCTCGGTCTTGAGCTTGATGGCACTGATGCAGATGTTCCTACTTTATTTTTCTTTTTACATGTAGTTGTAGCACATTGTACAGCTTAGGCAGTTTTATTTTTCTTCTAAAACTTGTACCCTTTTGTAAAATGTTGTAAAAAGGAGCTATGATGGAACGAAAATGGATTTTCGTTCAAAGAGTGTTATATTTGTATTTTGAGCATCGCATCGCACCAATTTGCACAAAAAAGAAATTTGAATGAAAATAGAACAATGTGTATTGCCAAGTCAGGTAGTGAATTGACGCAAGAAACTAAAAACTCAACTCAAAAACAATTCGTTAAACGAATTAACAACTCGATAAGCAAATGAGCAACAACCCGATAAACAAATGAGCAACAACCCGATGAACAAAATGAGCAACAACTCGATAAACAAATGAGCAACAACTCGATAAACAAAGTGACGGAATGCATCTGAAACAGAGGTAAATTCGAACCTTCAACACTCTCAGCACACGGGGAAGTTAGAGACTCACTCCTGGAGGTAAGAAACAGGTGTAAACCACTTTCATACGCATAGCCGACCACCAAAGGAGCCTGCCGACCAGTTTTTCTGTCTGTAGTGCAAAAAAGTAGCTGGCCGACCAAAAAAAGTGGTCGGCTGACCACTTGATCAGGGAACCTCTAGTTTTCTGACACTTGTCCTCCAAATAGTGTCTTATCCTTTATAAAGGTTCCAGCTTCATGGTTCCCTTATTCCAACTCAGTTTTGCACCAAAATAGAGGCGCTTCTCATCCAAAATCTCATGAATTGGATTGCTTCCTTGGATGGCTCGAAAAAGGTGAATTTCCGGAGCTTTGGCATAAATGCACTATTCATGCTGAGCTGCACCCCACTGCGTTTTCTGTTTCTTCATGCCACAGCAATGTTTTGGAACCTGGTGACACACGTCTTTAGCTTTGGCGGACAAGAGATGTGTCCCACATTTGAAGACTTCCAAGCTTTAATGGAATCCGAGCGCGAGGAGGAAATTTTGCCACAATTCCGCTTTGGCCACGTCCAAGCCTTAGGATGGATATGTGGGCTCACTTTGCATGATGCTCGGTCATTGATTCGCGATGGAGTGCTGGATAGCCCCAGCTTGATTCGTCGATTCTCTGATGCCGGTGACCGTGGCGATCATGACTGGCAGGGTTATTAGCAACATGCACTTTGCTTGTGCATGTTGTCTCATTTCTTGCTTGCCCCAGGCTCTGGTGGGTTTAGCACTCGTTTGATTGAAGTCGCGCAAGGATTAAGAGAAGGCAAGAGCTGCATTGCCATGACATTAGCTGAGACATTGATACGTTTAGATGCTTTTCATCACCAGGAGATGGCTAGCTTGGTGGGGAGTCCACTACTATTGCAAGTAATGTTTCCCACCCCATCTCACATATATTTCTCACATCACTCGGCCCTCAGGCTCGGTTTTTCTCTCAAAACCCTTTTCTCACTTTTTCTCTCGACATACACCTCTCTATTCTTTAATCTCTCATTTTTAATCCCTCCCCAAATATGGTTGATGGACAAATTGAAGATTGTGGACTCCTGCCCCACATACTCAACTCGCAGCTATTTCTTCCGTCGATGTCTAGTCGATGCCCCTGACGAGGGATGGTGGTGTAACTGGATGCGCAGTTTGTCTGCCGACCGCATTGCTTGGCGTTGTCCTTGGCTCAATCTGCCTACGATGAGTTACAGTATGACTCGCTAACCAGGGATTCAGTTGATTGGCATGACACATTGTGTGTTCTATTTTCCTTTCCGGTCCCGGCGTCAGTACATGATCAGACTTGCCTGGTAGAAGGGATAGAGTACCCCGCTGCATTTCCGATTTGAGGCACTCAGCTAGCTTGGTATGCCACGGCATGGAGGACTAAGGAGCTTCTGGCCCCCGCTCCCACTTTCAGTTGTACTCTCTCTGATGAGTGTATAGCTTGGCTTTTTGAGGAGGCGCAGACTGGGCCTACTTTAGCATCAAAGGCATCGACC